GGTGGAGAGACGGGACCAACTGGGGCCGAACTGGGAGGCAACTGGGAGGCAACTGGTCTCACCAGACCACCTCCCCCACGTTGGAGGAGATGAGGTAGCGGATGAACTGCTTCATGTTGTTGTAGATGGCCCTCCCTTCCTCCACCGCCGCCACGATGGTGGAGAAGTTGTCGTCGGCCAGGACCATCTCGGAGGCCGTCTTGGCCACCGCCGTCCCCGAGCCCATGGCGATGCCGATCTCCGCCTTCTTCAGGGCCGGGGCGTCGTTCACCCCGTCTCCTGTCTGGTGGGGTGGGGGAGGGGGAGGTCACCCAAGGGGTGGTGGGGGTGGCACCCCAGGGTCACCCGAAGAGGGGGTGGTGGGTCTACAAAGGGTGGTGGACGCTCAAAACCACGGCAGATCCTGATGGGACCATCAAGGAAGCCCTCAAAATGGTGATGGGACTCCAAAACCACGTCAGATTCTTATGGGAACCCCCCAAAATGGTGATGGAACCCCAAAACCACGTCAGATTCTTATGGGAACCCCCCAAAGTGGTGATGGAACCCCAAAACCACGTCCAACTGATACAGAACCCCCCTAAGAACCCCTCAAAATGGTGATGGAACCCCAAAACCACATCAGATCCTTATGGGAACCCCCCAAAATGGTGATGGAACCCCAAAACCACGTCAGATCCTTACGGGAACCCCCCAGGAACCCCTCAAAATGGTGATGGAACCCCAAAACCACGTCCAGCTGATACAGAACCCCTCTAGGAAGCCCTCAAAATGGTGATGGAACCCCAAAACCACGTCAGATCCTTATGGGACCACCCAGGAACCTCTGAAAATGGTGATAGAACCCCAAAACCACGTCAGATCCTTATGGGAACCACCCTAGGAACCCCTCAAAATGGTGATGGAACCCCAAAACCATATCAGATCTTTATGAGACCCCCCCAGAAACCTCTGAAAATGGTGATGGAACCCCAAAACCACGTCAAACTGATACAGAACCCCCCTAGGAAGCCCTCAAAATGGTGATGGAACCCCAAAACCAAGTCAGATCCTTATGGGAACCACCCAGGAACCCCTCAAAATGGTGATGGAACCCCAAAACCATATCAGATCCTTATGAGACCCCCCAGAAACCTCTGAAAATGGTGATGGAACCCCAAAACCACGTCCAACTGATACAGAACCCCCCTAGGAACCCCTCAAAATGGTGATGGAACCCCAAAACCAAGTCAGATCCTTATGGGAACCACCCAGGAACCCCCCAAAATGGTGATGGAACCCCAAAACCATATCAGATCCTTATGAGACCCCCCAGAAACCTCTGAAAATGGTGATGGAACCCCAAAACCACGTCCAACTGATACAGAACCCCCCTAGGAACCCCTCAAAATGGTGATGGAACCCCAAAACCAAGTCAGATCCTTATGGGAACCACCCAGGAACCCCCCAAAATGGTGATGGAACCCCAAAACCACGTCCAACTGATACAGAACCCCCCTAGGAACCCCTCAAAATGGTGATGGAACCCCAAAACCACATCAGATCCTTATGGGAACCCCCCAAAATGGTGATGGAACCCCAAAACCACGTCAGATCCTTACGGAATCCCCCAGGAACCTCTGAAAATGGTGATGGAACCCCAAAACCACGTCAGCTGGTGTCCCCTCCTCCTCACCATGGCTGTGATCTCGTCGAAGGACTGGAGGAACTCCACGATCTTGGACTTGTGGGTGGGCTCCACCCGGGCGAAGCAGCAGGCCCGGCGACAGGCCTCCCTCTGCTCGGCTGGGGGGAGGTCGTCGAACTCCCGGCCCGTGTAGGCCTTCCCCGTCACCTCCTCCTCCTCCCCGAAGATGCCGATGCGGCGGCAGATGGCGATGGCCGTCCCTTTGTTGTCCCCCGTGATCATGATGACCCGGATGCCGGCGTCGCGGCAGAGGCGGATGGAGCCCATCACCTCTTTGCGGGGAGGGTCCAGCATCCCCACGCAGCCCACGAAGGTCAGGTCCATCTGTGGGGCGGGGTGGGATGGGGTGGGGACACCAAGGAAGAGACGTCAGACACCCCAAAAAGACCAAAAAGTCCCTCAAAAAAGGTCCATACGGGGCCAAGAACCATCCAAAATGGAGTGAGACACCCTTGTAGGACCTAGAACCCACCAGAGAAGGTTCTAGATGGACATATGGGACCAGGGACACCAAGGAGGGGACATCGAAAACCCAAAAAGACAAAAAGTCCCCCCAAAAAAGGTCAATATGGGGCCAGGAACCATCCAAAATGGGGATGGTTCTTCTTGTAGGACCTAGAACCCACCAGAGAAGGTTCTAGATGGGACCAAAGGACCTCCAGGGGACAAGGGACACCAAGGAAGGGACATCGAACACCCAAAAGGACCAAAAATGTCCCCAAAAAAGGTCAATATGGGGCCAAGAACCATCCAAAATGGGGTGAGACGCCCTTGTAGGACCTAGAACCCACCGGAGAAGGTTCTAGATGGCATCAAGGGAGGTCCAAAAGGGACAAGGGACACCAAGGAAGGGACATCGGACACCCAAAAAGATCAAAAAGTCCCCCAAAAAAGGCCAATATGGGGCCAAGAACCATCCAAAATGGGGTGAGACCCCCTTGTAGGACCTAAAACCCACCAGAGAAGGTTCTAGATGGCATCAAGGGAGGTCCAAAAGGGACAAGGGACACCAAGGAGGGGACATCAGACACCCAAAAAGACCAAAAACGTCCCCAAAAAAGGTCAATATGGGGCCAAGAACCATCCAAAATGGAGTGAGACCCCCTTGTAGGACCTAGAACCCACCAGAGAAGGTTCTAGATGGGACCAAAGGACCTCCAGGGGACAAGGGACACCAAGGAGGGGACATCAGACACCCTTGAAGGCCCAAGAACCCCCCCAGGAACGTGGTTATGGGGCCACATGGGCCAAGGAACCCCCCCGAGATGACCTCATACCCCATTGAAGGCCCAAGAACCTCCCCAAGAACGTGGTTATGGGGCCACATGGACCCAAGAACCCCCCCAAGAACGTGGTTATGGGGCCACGTGGACCCAAGAACCCCCCCGAGATGACCTCATGGACCTTTAACGCCCCCATGCCCCCCCAAGAGGACCCCCCCACATCACCCAGAAGATCACCTCGTACTCGGCGAACTTGGAGGAGTCCTCCAGGACCATGTCCTCCTTCTTGGGGGGGGTGTCGCGGGTGGCCAAGGCCAAGCAGCGCAAGGTGTCCCTCCCCGTGCCCCACTCCTTGATGACGGTCAAGATCTTCTCCTTGACGGATGGGGTCAAGGGGACTCTGGTTGTCCCCACCCGGACGTAGTTACAACGGTCGATGACACCCTCGGGGGCACCCTACGGGGGAGGAGACAACGGGGTGAGGAGGTGGGTCCCATGGGGTGAGGTGGTGGCCCCATGGAGCGAGGAGGTGGCCCCATGGGGTGAGAAGGTGGTCCCATGGGATGAGAAGGTGGATCCATGGAGCAAGGTGGCCCCATGGAGCGAGGAGGTGGCCCCATGGGATGAGGAGGTGGATCCATGGGGTGAGGAGGTGGATCCATGGAGCAAGGTGGCCCCATGGAACGAGGAGGTGGCCCCATGGGGTGAGGAGGTGGATCCATGGGGTGAGAAGGTGGATCCATGGGGTGAGAAGGTGGTCCCATAGGGCGAGGAGGTGGCCCCATGGGATGAGGAGGTGGATCCATGGGGTGAGGTGGAGGCCCCATGGGGTGAGGAGGTGGATCCATGGGATGAGAAGGTGGATCCATGGAGCAAGGTGGCCCCATGGAGCGAGGAGGTGGCCCCATGGGATGAGGAGGTGGATCCATGGGGTGAGGAGGTGGATCCATGGAGCAAGGTGGCCCCATGGAACGAGGAGGTGGCCCCATGGGGTGAGGAGGTGGATCCATGGGGTGAGAAGGTGGATCCATGGGGTGAGAAGGTGGTCCCATAGGGCGAGGAGGTGGCCCCATGGGATGAGGAGGTGGATCCATGGGGTGAGGTGGAGGCCCCATGGGGTGAGGAGGTGGATCCATGGGATGAGAAGGTGGATCCATGGAGCAAGGTGGCCCCATGGAGCGAGGAGGTGGCCCCATGGGATGAGGAGGTGGATCCATGGGGTGAGGAGGTGGATCCATGGGGTGAGGAGGTGGCCCCATGGAGAGAGGAGGTGGTCCCATGGGATGAGGAGGTAGATCCATGGGGTGAGAAGGTGGATCCATGGGGTGAGGAGGTGGATCCATGGAGCAAGGAGGCCCCATGGAGCAAGGAGGTGGCCCCAGGGAGCGAGGAGGTGGCCCCACGGGGCGGGGTGGTGGGGACGTGGGGATGGAGGCCCACCTTGACGAACATCTTGTTGCCCACGGCGGCCCTGGAGGCCTTGGCCGGGGAGCAGTAGACGGACATGGACTTGCGGTCGCGGGAGAACTCCAGGGTGAACTCCTTCTTCATCAGCTGCTTGATGACCTTTGTGGGGGGACACAAGGGGACAAGGTGACACTTGGAGGACCTTGGAGGACCTTGGGGACAGGGGGAGGACCTTGGGGACACTTGGAGGACCTTGGGGACAGGGGGAGGACGTTGGGGACAGGGGGAGGACCTTGGAGGACCTTGGGGACATGAGGAGGACCTTGGAGGACCTTGGAGGACCTTGGAGGACCTTGAGGACACGGGGACAATGAGGACACGAGGAAGACAATGGGGTCAACGGGACACTTGGAAGACCTTGGAGGACCTTGGGGACATGAGGAGGACCTTGGGGACGTGAGGAGGACCTTGGAGGACCTTGGGGACATGGGGAGGACCTTGGGGTCAACGGGACCCATGGGGACACTTGGAGGACCTTGGAGGACCTTGGGGACACGGGGACAATGAGGACACGAGGAGGACAATGGGGTCAACGGGACCCATGGGGACACTTGGAGGACCTTGGGGACAGGGGGAGGACCTTGGGGACACTTGGAGGACCTTGGGGACACGAGGAGGACCTTGGGGACATGAGGAGGACCTTGGAGGACCTTGGGGACAGGGGGAGGACCTTGGGGACACTTGGAGGACCTTGGGGACATGAGGGGGACCTTGGGGACACTTGGAGGACCTTGGAGGACCTTGGGGACACAGGGAGGACCTTGGAGGACCTTGGGGACACGGGGACAATGAGGACATGAGGAGGACAACGGGGTCAACAGGACATCGGTGGCCATGGGGTCATCACAGAGAAGGTGGGAATGGAACCTC